CTTATTATCGTGCCTTAAAGAATCAGAAACTGGAGCATCTGGAACAAACTCCCCATAAATCTCTATCCTGTGCCCCATCTGCTCACCGGAGTAATAATGCTGGCCACTCCTACTGGCTGTTTGAGCAGCAGGATCCGTCTGTCTTTAACTGGAGACGGGACAATGTCTCCGTAAACTCTCCGAGCTTCCTCTGAAAACCACTCCAGGAAGGCGGCGGAGTACGCCATCTCTCCGAGAGACTCCCGCATGGGTTTACCCTGCAAACACACATGTGAGGTTAGCTTCTTCCCCTTTGCAGAGATTTAAGATTAGCTTCCTTCTCCCAACTCCTTTACAGGGGAACTGAAGACCCCGCCTGTTCTGACTGCTGAAGGAAAACTTCACTCACACTTTCAAACGTGATCAGCTTGGCCAAGTCTTCTTTGTGGCGGTTGAGCAGATCGAACCACTTCCTCAGCAGGAGGCTCCTCTCCTGCAGAACAACAATCACATCAGACCTTCTGGCGTCTGCATGACCTCAGATATTATTCTATTCACGAGACTGTGGAGAAAAAACCTTTATAATCTGACCCTATAAAACCAAAACACAGACTGTTACCTTCAACGACACTGGCAGCTACAAGGACTAAGGGAATTACAGAAAGTACAGATAAATTTAGTTTGTCTAACAATTTAACTAGTTTGTTCAAATGAAAAAAATGTGTTTCTTTTTAATTTTAAGTTTAGAGTTAACGTCTTTTCTTTTTCTTGACGAGATAAACTGGATGTTCCAGGTTTGATGAAGCTGGGTCTGTTTCAGCCCATTGAACTGTACTGGGAACCATTTGGAAAGTTATTTTGAGTATTTTGAGCTATTTAGCCTGGAATAAGAAAAAAAAATGTAGTTCTTTAGTTTATTTCCATTTTATTTTATGTTTAATACATTTTATATTTATAAATGAAATATTTATTTAAAAATGTAAATATGTAAATTAGAAAATGATCTAAGTTTTTAATTACATTTTTATTTACTACACTAAATTAAATACCAGTTGGAGATCAGAGTGACCTGCAGATATTATTTGCTTTAATATTTTGCTCTAAACTAAATGTTTAAATGCAAGCCTAATATTTTTATATTTACAATTTTGATTTTTGCCTCCAATTGAAATATTTAGATAACAAACCAAAACTCTGTTTATTAAATTCAGAAATCAATATAAGTAAATTATTTGGAGCTAAATATCCAGTTTTAAAGCCAAATATTTATTTTGTGAAATAAACATTTAATCTCAACATTTAAATTGGACATAAATACGGTATCTAAATTGGATTTTTTTTTATTTGAAGCTAAATATTTTGTTGCATAAAAAGTTTAACTAACAACTTAAATATTAAGTTTGTAAATGTGATATAAATCAATTTATTAATTGAATGATGAAAACATGACTGATAAAATGAGTCACATCTTATTTTGTTCTTTATATTTTTACCATCCTCTGAATACAGAAGAGGATTAGAGCCACTGAAAATATAAAAGAAGCTTAACTAATTTTTAAATTTTATTTCAGTATAATATGGAAAAAAAAAGTAAGAATTCTGAAAAAAAGTCAAACTTCTGATTTTTTCTTATATTATACTGAAATAAAATTAAAAAATCAGTTAACCTTTTTTTATTTTTTCAGTGGCCCTATCCCCTCCGTATCTCTTACATTTTTTTCCTTAATTTTCAAGCGTCCAATATCTGGGCGAATGTTACTAATTTTGGGGAGAAACTGCGGATCAAAGCTAAATTTTAAATCAAAAAGACGTTTGTGGTCAATTATGTGGAAGCCGAATTAAAGAGTGTTTAATAATAAACCAGAGGCCAGATGCACAGGTGGTTCTGTGCCTTTATTTGCTAAATATCCTGAATTCTTTTAAAAATTGTATATTTTAAAAGGAGTTCTGCAGAGCAGCCAGGAGCCTCCTACCTTGGCGGTGGTCTGCTTCCAGGACTGAAACGCCTCATAGGCGGCATCCACCGCCTGTTTGGCCTCTGCTGGGCCGCAGTCAGAAACCTGGGCCAGCTCCTGTCCGGTGGCTGGGTCCAGGACCGGGAACACCGAGGCTGCAGAGACCCAGCGGCCGCCAAAGTAGCCCTGAGTCCGGAGCAGCGCAGCGGGGACGTCCAAGCTGTAGTGTCTACGCAGGGAGGCCGGGAGGCCGGGGGGAAGCTGCCGGAGGAGCCGGCGGCTCCTCAGGACTCTGACAGCGGACATTCTGGAGAGCAGGAGGCGCAGAAGGAGCTCCGAGGTGGACAGCAGAGGAGGTTATCCTGCGGAGCTGCAGCTGGAGATCCAAGCGTGCTGCGCTTCTTCTTCTTGAGAGTCTTCATCGCGGTTGGCAAACTAGTGAGAAGTTAATTACCGCCACCAACTGGTAAGGAGTAAAGCAAGGAAACAGGAAACGAAACAGAAGAAAAAAAACTGTGTAACTTAACCCAACCTAATAAATACTTAATAAAATTTGCCCTCATAATTTTAATTTATCTTTAAGTCATGGTCACTCTGCCAGTTTCTGGTGGTCCTATTTGTTTTCCCATCATATTTTCCACCAATTCCCAGTTTAAATCTTTAACTTCCAGATATTTTTCTACAGCTTTCACAATTATTGAGATTTTTTCGGTTTTTCTTGTCGTCTGTGCACTACAATTGATCACTCCCACCATGAAAAGAACAAAATCTTTCTTTTTAACAATTAGTGAGTCTTCTTCAATGATGAGACATTTCCCCAGAGGTTTTGAGTTTGCCATGTGCTGAACTGTTGGTTTGTTTTTTTGGT